ACACTTCAAGCTGTAAATTAGTTCAACTATTTCTTTGCCATGTCTTTGTCTTAATAAAAAATTTTTACCCTCTCAAAAAGAGGTCATTCTCTCTCAATCTCTACTGACAGCAAAAAAAAGTGGCTGCCTTGAAATACATGGAAGATAGAAGAGAGTCCTACAATGTTCATAACTAGGAGATGCATGAAAAAAGAAGTGTTATAACAACGATAAGAAGTATTCCAGTTATCTTAAGCTTAAAATTTGGGCTTCAAATTCAATTAAGGCGATGGTTTCATAAACTATAGGTTTTTAGTTGTGGTTTGAACTCAAATGAATATTTGTTGCTAGAGAAAAAAGCTAAATTCAATTGTATTAGAATGGTTATAAGCTTCATAATTTGAGGAGGAAATTGAGGAGAGTAGGTCGAAGAGAGATGGGAATGCAAGAGAGAAACGGGGAAAGAATGCAATGATTCATAAACTTTGACAAAAGGCGTAACCAGATAAATGAAAAGAATGCAATGATTCATAAATTCAGCAGTTGAGCATAAGACCCAAATCAACTCAATGAAAATACTTTTTTGCACTAAAGCCCACATCTAAACTTTCTCATCAACTTACTCGCTTTCTCAGACCAAAGTTTTTTTTTAATATAAGTTCTCTTAATGCTAGGGCATCACCCATAAGCAATGTGTCATGATCATACCAAATTATGTGAGAAGTACATAAGAATTTACTAGAATATCATCCATGGATAATGTGCATTTACATAATATTAGGGACTATTTGGGATTAGGTTTTGATTTGAATTAAAAGTTGTTTGGGTATGACAGTTATTTTTTAAGAACACCACAATGTTAGGGAAAAAAGAGAAGGGATAGGTCTAAAGAAACATAAATAGAAGCTAAAAATGATCTGCAAATATAAGTCTAAACCTCAAGCAACATTTAGCAAAACTAAATAAAAAAATGAGTATTCCTAAAGCTGAACCTTAATAGTTGGGATAAAGCAACTGATGATTAATGATTAGATGGTGCTGAGTAAGTCAACACAATGATATTGCATCAACCTTGTTAGGATAATGTAACACAACGTTATTATTTTGCACGCTGCCTGCAATTTGGACATGCATATGAATAGGGCATAAAAGCGGTGGCAATCATCATAAACTAACCATGCATAATATGCTTTAAGATAAAAAAAATTGAAAATGTGCGATAAAATTGTAGATGGTTCTATTTAGCATGCGGATGTAATTTCGCTCCGAAATGGTGTTTGGGAAATGGATTTGGCAAGGAAATGATTGTGAATAACATGGGAATAAGAAAATGGGAGTTCGGAAACATTTGGAAGAGTGGAGACATTCAGCCACAACCCAGCTGGAAAACAATGAGTCAAACAATGAAACAACAATGAGGATCCACCATTTGCTTCTGAGCAAAATACAACGCTTCCAACAGAAAAAGAATAAACACTCTAGAGAGCAAAAAACAAAAAAAAAATCTCCAAGACACAAAAACAAAAACTAAAATCCTGAAAATTGAAGAAAATAGCACATAAATAGGCTTCTAATAAAAATAAACCTAACTAGAAATAATGAAATAGGAAATAGGCCATAAATGGCATGAAATCTCGTTGAATTTGACACTAAGACAAACTTACTTGGTGTGGTCTTCAAGTGATTGTAGTAACTCTAACCGCGATATCCACTCGGGATTATAGCGAGATTCGTGATTCCACATAATCCCACGAAATCAGTTCACGCATCATTCTCCAGGTCTATGAAAGGCTTATTCTTCTTCTCTGGAAATACTCAGATCCCATTGTCTAATATTATTTCTTACAAAATACCTGCAAAGATTTCCAAAGTAGTGGTTCACCACTTCTATCCGACCACCTGCCTGAGGCTGCACCGTTAAACTAAACTGAAACATAGCATTTAATTTACTCCATAGGGTCTTCTAGAAAAAGCTCAAAAATTTTGCTTCTCTATCTGAAGTTATAACAAGCTAGACCTCCCTCAGCAATGACAACTTAAGAGGTGTATCTCTCAAAATTCTGAAAAACCACTTAGCAGGGGTCGCCCTGTGACTAGTATTGGCTCCTCGAGCTCATTACTATTGGACAACCAATGTTAGTCCTACTAATGCTCCTCTCAAGACCTGCAAAAATGATAGTTTGTGGCATCACATACTCAAACTCTTATATAAACGCTCATTATTTTGACTCTTTCAAAAGAAATAGCGCAATGTGTTTTTGCCATATTTGGTGAAAGAATATGTGTTCTTATAGCCATCATGAAATGTGCAACATTCGTAAAGTCAATGACAGTTTAATAAAATGTAATAAGTATTCTTAAGTATTACGTCACACCAGACATTCTCTTAGAACTTGTTTCCAATGAAAAATCTATTAGGCAACTCCTATCAACTGCAATCATATTCCCTTTCTTCAATCATGACAAAAAATATGTTTGGGTGTACTGTGTTTTCAGATTTAACTTGTCAACCATTTGGGTAGACACCATATTCTCACAATTATTTGTCTATGACTAGAGTGCACATATTTTTCTTGACAGTGCAACGAGTATGAAAGATATTATAGCAAAACTACTTTTTCTATCTTATAGCTTGAAAGACTCATCGAATCACTAACATATGTCCCTTATTGGCTAGAAGCCGATACTTCTCTGTGACATTCTCATTCTCTCATGTGTCATTATCCATTTTTTCAACTAATCGGGAAAGAGATCACCCTCATGGTTTAGAAATCAAACATAATATGCTCAAAGTTGTGACATTTAAAGCACCTCTCTAGCAAGGACAGATTTGGGTGTGCTAGTGGTCTCCAACTTTTCTCCACACTAAACCGATTTTTCCTGGGGAGGGGCCACCTTGTGTGCTCCAACAGTTTTATTCTTACTGTCTGAGCCTGGGGTTGAATTTTGTCTGTAAGGTATGGCGGTCACGTAGTGACGTTTCACCACTTTCAGAGCTAGGGTATGTACATCGAGTAAAAACCAATACGGCTTCAGTCACACCACATTACTGATAAATAGCTTCAATCCTCCAAGATATCTTGTTAATGTATGCTCCTTTGGTTCCACCAACTAACATTTTAACCTGTGCTGATTCAATTCAATTATAAACTCCTCCCTAACATAGGTTATGTTGTTTTATGAACATGTCCTGTCGGTAATGTGGGAAAAGATACTTAAGTTGGATATTCCTTTTCATCTTATATCATCTGGCCATCTCAATATTCCATTCCCTCTGTCCAAAATGTTTTAAGTTCTCCCATTATAAAGAAACATTCTTCCTGAGCTTGATGGTTATCAATTTAACTCTTTTGTCGCGGGAAACAACTTTGTACTCAAATATTTATTCCACTGTTTGAATTCACTCAATAAATTTATCTGAATTCAAACATCCGTCAAAATTTAGCAAGTCAATCTTCACTCCAAAATCACCCTCTACTCCTATACCCAATGTCGAATCAACGAAACATCTACTCTTCATCACTCGAGGCTTTTTGGTGGAAAAAGTTTTCTTCACCTCCTTCATATGTGTAATCACTCTTGTTGCTATGTGTAATTCCCCATGTTATCTTTTTTTAAAATCAGAGTCTCCATGGCAATTAGAGGATTTCATACTGCATGTCTTACATAGTAGATTTTTGAATACCTCATTGAGTGTTTTTCCAGGACAGCATGATGTCTCATTCTTCAAATTAAATTTTCGGCTGAAAGAGAAATGGTTTGAGGTGAGTTTAGGATCAGGGGGCTAGGTGGGTAATGTAGAGATAATATTTTTAGTGAGGATATTAAGTTATGTTGAGCGGAATATTGGTTTGAGAGGAAAAGATGACAAATCCCTAAACATTTAGGATTTTTTCGTGCCCTGATATCAAATGACACCAATCTAGGACTCTTAAAAAGTGTTAAGGAAGTAAATTTTGTGAGAGGTGGTTGTGGAATGATAAAGGAATGAGTCTATGGGAGGTTGACGGCATTTGGAAGGGGAGTGGACCCATTCGGCGGCTGTCCAACTACAAAACATCAGGTCTAATGGTGAAATAGCGAGATACAGATGACGAAGAGGATTTAACACTTCTTCTCGAGCAATATACAAACACACCACTTGCAAAAGAAAGATGATACAACACTCCAAAGAGTAGTAAATAGAGAATAAAGTCTCCTAAACACAAAAACAATAACTAAAGTCTCAAAATAGAAACAAATAACACATAAAATAGGCTCTTAATAGAAAATAACTAATTAGAAATAAAGAAATAGGAAATAAATAAAAAATAATAAAAAATCTCACTGAATTTGGCAATGGAATTCCCAGGATCCTTGTAACTCCTGACTCTGCATTATCTACTCGGGATTATAGTGGGATCCATACCGTGTCATGTATTCTATAAATAGTTGGTGACTGCTAAAACACCCAATGCCACATTATTCAAGTAGTACAATGACCACAAATTCCCACTGCACTAATAAACTGCAATATACGTACCACTGACTTAAGAAGAATGAATCCATAACGAAGAATAATAAAGCCATTCACATATAGTTGCTGACAACAGTTATTTCTCAAGCATATTCCTTGATTCAAAAAACAAAAGAAATCTGATAAACAAAGACTAAATGCTGTATTTTATGCTTGCAGTTATCGATGACTATAAACAAATATAATCTATATATACACCATCTTGATATGTGCATTAATTGTTCATTTGCAGATTGTAAATTGGACAAAGAGATGCATGTGCAAAAAGCTTTAAATAAGAGTTAGAACATATATAAATCATTAAATATGGACTTGAACTCAAACCAGGGAAAAAATGACATAATAAAACGTTGAATTGTGAATAAGAATCTCATGATAGATATTTTTATCTAATTTTACGATGCTGAATATCTGGATCCTTTTACTAATAAGTTAAAAGCAGAAATCAAGCAACTAAATCAACAACACTCCCATTATAATAATGTAGGCATCTTGAGTATCAAACCTTCACTGGTAGGTTGTCATTGTAGGGATTCCTCAAATGATGGGTCTTATTGAAAGACAATTCACACAGCTGAAAAAAAAAAGTCAGGAGGTCATTTTCAAAATTAGAAACATGATGCCAAATACCACAGAAAATATGAACAATGCAAAAAAAAGCAAGTCAACATATATAATCTAATTGAACTTGCAGGATATGGTAAGAAAAAGTCAAAATAGGGCATTAGTTAACATTAATTTCCACAGCTCTATACTGACCAGAGCAGAGGATAACCAGAATCAGGGGCATATCAAAGTCAAACAAGATGAGCAATCCATAGGTATGGTCCGAAGAGCATGCTGACTTTTTCAAATGTACCTTGACTTTCCAAGTGCATCTTATCTAAAGTCGGTTCAATGTAAGCTAAGGGAAATTATATAATGAATTGGCTTTCAAAGTTATAGATAACATCAATATAGCAAAACTTCGTGGGAGAAGTTCATGAAAATTTTCGGTTCACCCATTTCTTTTTTGCTGTTGTAGTGGGAGCAGGAAAAAGCATAATATGTTGATTAGCTCAGGGAGAGCTAATTTAGTCCTAATAGATAGATAGGGGGAGTTGGATGTTTAATATCCTACTAAATGCCCAAGGTGGTGTCTCAATCCTGTGTCCCAAAAAGTTTGTGCATGCAGACTCATGGATGCTAATCTCCAAAGCAAGCACGACGCCCTTGATAGCCATGGATTTAGCCATTAGCATAGGAATGCATATCAAGGAGATATGGAATTTCCAAGACTCAGGTTGGCGACTGCAAAACACAAAATCAATTTCTAACAATGCCTACTTGAGACCATAAGCAGTGGAATTTTATACACTTCGGGTCCAATAACAATCAATCCACCATGGGAATTTCAAAAATCTACCACGCTTTATAGCCAAATTCTACAACAAAATAAAAAATAGCTTCAAAAAATGTAAATGTTTCTTAAATGAGTATTCAAGGTTTCTCTTCTGCTAAAAGGCATTTTTTTGTGGCTTTTACTTTTTATTAGCCCTCTTTCTCTAACATGTAGTAGTAAATTAGTCTTTTTCATCTGACAATTATTAGAAATTAAGCAAAGTTAGAATTATAATTGCTGCATCATTCCTAATTATTTTGTATACAGAACTCATATCCTATTACAATTTTTTAAAATGTTCCCACTTGAAACTACACTAAAACTAAATATTCTATGGGGGATGAACTTCAAAGTAAAACTACACCTAGAACTCTTACAATAATAATAAATAACAACAACAAGCCTTTATCCCGCTGAGTGAAGTCCCCTAGTACCCTCTACTGCAAAAAAAAAAGGAACTATATAAAGATAAATTATCTTTCCTTTTTTGAAGAAATATGTAATTGTGCCTCAAGTGAATGATTTGGTAATGTGAGTGTGTCGGTCAACCTCATTAATGAAATAGTGAAGATTTCAGTAGGAACGCGATATGCAAACTGAGAACAAGGACAATTCAAATTGTTAGATGATTCAAATTTTAGCACTTCGTGATTGAAAGATAAAGATACTTCCCAATAGTTAAGATAAAACCTATGATGAATGATGAATTGTGAATCATCATCATGACACAGTTGAACAGCAAATAGGGTAGAGAAATTCATTAAATAAAAGGTAGATTAACAAGTTTCCATGACGCCGAACTCATTCAGCATGTGTGGGCCATGAAAAGAAGCTACCAAATAAGAAAGAAGGATCAATTACATGTTGGTTCCTAAAATTTAGATCTAATTACTGATTCACCAGGATTTGAATTCTAGCATGAATATAAAGAAGTATGTGGATACTACGGAACATGAGATTTCGCATTTGGTTTGAATCACAATTTAAAATTGCAAAATTTAGGACAAGCCTTGAGGTGCATCTCAATACAATTCATCCCCAAAAAGAATTGAGGCGCATGCCTCCAGATATTCAATAAAGCATGCCTTGCCCCATTATATTTGAGATGAGCGCTCTTAGGTTTTTTTTTTCTTTTTCTTTTTTTAATATTCTACTAAACCAGCCCACCCCACTAATGCCCGGCCCTCACCCCCTTCTCCCCTCTCACAACGCCTCCTAGCCTCCTAACTGGCAGCCCCTACAGCCACATGTTGCTTATGCTATCGTCACCGCTTGTAGCTTCCGCCACCGCCGCCACCTACTAGTTGACCACCTCTTACCATGCATGATCGCTACCCTCATCCGCAATTTACCCTCAAACATACACAAATCATTCCTAGTGTTATAGCCGCCACTGCTTACTGTTTCCTCCACCATCGCTACATTCCTCCGTTGCCACTTTTTACACATAATCTCCCCTCTCACACATATACTAGTCATCTCTAGTGTCATTGCCACAACCATCTTGTCCCCTCCCCCGCCGCTAACATATTATTGCCACCCCCGCCCCCGCACTTCTCCCCGCCCCCGCCTTCTCTTACCAAGTTTTCTTCTTCAACAAGGATCTCTAATTTCTCCACAATCACTAAACCTTTTTTAATTTGTTTTAAATATTTGCACGTTTATCAATTTTTTAAATTTTTTTTAAATAAAAAGCTTCCATCTAATGTTTTGTTAGAAATGATGGGAGGCAAAAAGGAATCCACAATGGGTCATAGAAGCAATCTCCTCTGGAGCAATAGTGTGCAAGTAGACATTAAGGCAACAATAAGACATGTGAAGCGCAATTGCCGCTAGAGCTATAAATGAACTAATGCACAAGATGAACAACTCAAACTAGGCCCCATTAATTCTCAATCAAGTTTATTCAAATTAGTAAATAAATAGGTTAGAATTTTTTTAAAAAAACTGAAAGTTAAATAAATCAAACTTTAAAAACAATCAAACTAGTTCATTTATGTTCACAAAGAAACTTATTTTTTTGTTCAACACATAACTTGTCAAATGCTACATAGTAAGATTAATGATAGCTCATATCATTTATAATTTATTATTTAAATAAAATTTGATTATGTAAAACCATTTAATTATATAATTAATAATAACATATAATAATTTAAGGAAATTTGCTTTCATACCACATTATGTTTACATATTTGCATATCAGGCACCAAAAGTTTGATATTTATATTTATAACACATTAGAGTAATAAACCTATGCATGAAAATGTGTATTTAACATATAAAAGACTGTGATATAGTATTTTTTATGTGATTTTATAAATTTGAGTCATATGCATGTACATATGACTCTTTAGGAGCTAGGTATGTAAATACATAAGAATTGTGGTATGTATGTAAATGCCCCTATAATTTAATATCAATACGTAATATAATTGAACACAATTTTTCTCATTTCTTTATTTCAGTGACCTAATTTATTTTTACTTATTTAAATTATTTATTTACACAAAGTTTACTTAAAAGGTATATATTATCTTATTTAATTACTATAATCTAGTAAGACAATAATTCAAAATTTATTTGATTGGTTATTTAGATTTGTAAAATTATTTGTTGATAACTTTATATTAAAAGTCAAGTACATACTCAATTTTTTACTATTTTGTTAACTTATTGAAGTGCTCATTTAAATAATATAAAAAAGCCAAGTATATTTATTATAAATTTAGCAAGTATGAATATACATGTGAAAGTTCAACTCAAGCAAGAGCCAAACAAAAACAACTTATAATATAAGCTAATTCGTAATATACACAGTTTGCGTTGGCTCAATTACAACACTAATTATTGTGAGAATGTAGTCAAATGAGTTATAAGCATGAAAGAAAACTACTATGTTAGCAGTTACTATAGGGAGATCACGGTCATGAAGACGAAAAACTACAGCTCAAAAGATGTTCTCAAAGCATGCTCAAAAAATGTTCCTAAAGCATGCAAAACAGGCACACAGATGTGTCGGCATGAATATTGAGAGATATTTCAATAAAAATATCATTCCATTCAATGTGGCAACTTCCCTTCTTACTTCAATATGATCCACTCCATAAGCGCTAGTGATTGAGGCTTGAAACCCCTAAGCATATATGATGGGTAAGAATGTTGAAAAATGAGTTGAGTAATACATAGAAGGCATAGAGAATAATAAAAGGACTTGGGAGTCAAAGTGAAGTAACAATTATGTCTAATGGGTGATCTGATATCAATAATTAAACTTTGATTAACACTTTAATTAATAATCCTATGACGTTATTTTCGTGATAAATGTAGATGAATCTATTCAGTTGAAAGGTGCAAATTATGTTTGTGGACAGTTTTATAAAATGGTAGAGGAGACTAAAAAGCATTTGATGGTCCAGGTTGTGACAAATAATGTCAAAGCTTATAGAGCGGCTGGGATTTGGGAATAACTTGATAAAGAATTGAAAAACATCTATATTAGACACCTTGTGCTACAAACTGCATATACATGATTTTAAAAAAGCTTGGCAACTTATTCTAGCATTAAAATGCACTTGACCAAATCAAAAAAGATTAATAAATCCATTTACAATTTTTCTGGATATTGCCTTTGAAAAAAAAAATTTCTAAAAAAGAACCCGCTATGCCACAACAAGATTTGTTACATCTTATTTGACTCCACAAAGCATGTTGAAAGCTAGACAACTAATGGAGGCAGTGATTACTTCTACTCAAGAGCTTTAGTTATGCGTGGGAAAAAAAAGTAGAGAAGTAAAGAGTCAAAAATTTTATTTTAAGTGAAATATTTTGTTCAAGTATTGAATATGCAATAACAATTATAAGACCAGTAATTTAAATTTTGAGGACAGTGGATATAGAGAAAAAGCCAGTCGCAAGCTTTTGCTTACAATGCAATGGATAAGGCCAAGAAATTAATAGAGCATAAATTAAGAGAAGATTTAGGATAATTGATGACAGATATGAGTTTTAGCTCCCCCGTCATCTACTTGTTGCTAGATATCTCTTTAACCCTCAAATACTGAATAAAGTATATCAATCCTAAGATAAGTTGGGGCAAGTCCAGTAAGGTAATAGCCATAACTTTGGAGGAGATGAGGCCAGTTATAGGGAGATTTGGGATCATCAATGAAACTGGGAGTTTCAGTTCCACAGTCATTTGCATATTGCTAGATATTTTCTTAACCCTAAAATACCGAAAACAAGTCTACCAATCCTAGGATCAAGGTAGAGTTATACCATTACATAAATGGCTTCACCATTGACCCAACTCAGAAAGTAACTGTTGATATTGTTTCATTTATCTGTAGCAAACTAAAGATACTGTTACAAAATATTTTCAAATAATATTTAATATTTAATGATTTCATTGAAATAAAATATGATACTCCAAATTCTAAATGTTTAAGTTCTAACTATATTATTTCCTTTGTCTGAATATTTGATCCAATAACTGACGACACTCTAGAGCTACAGGGTTCTGTTGCTAAGGTATTTGCTATGAAGATATTGGAATATACATGTTAGCTATCTGGATATGATAGCAACTTGATCACATTTAACCAAATTCACACAAAAAAGGAAATTATCTGACAAACGTAAGTATGCACTCCTTAGTGTACATTATGCAGACAATAATCTAAAAAAAAATGAAGAAAAAAGGGTTTGTAAGATGATGAGAATGTCCTCCTATATGAAAACATGTCATCAGATGATAAATAATTTATATATGATGACAATGAGGTCACACCATATGAGTTTCAATAAGAAGATTTGAATGTTGATTTCTTCTATAAAGATGGAAATAAAACTAGTATATCTAGCACGAAAAAAACAAAAGATAAAAAAGGTATCTATTGAATTTAAGTTTTTAAAGTTGACTTAAAATTTAATTAATTTAGTTATTTTTTATTAATACTGTCATTGTCAGTCCCAAGTCCGGATATGAAAAGTGAAGGGTTGCGTTAGGTAGTCGACAACCAGCGTAAAAACTTGTCAAAAAAATCATGACATTAATCCTTTTGATCATTGTGTAAGTGATAAGACATCTCCTGAAAGCGACGCATTGTATGGTTTGAATATAGTGAAAAGTGTGCAAGGGTCGCTACACCGGCGCCCAGCTGTAGTGTCAAATAAGCAAATATTTTCATATTACGGACGAATGCAGGTAAAAAAGCTAATCCATGAAACTAATATTAGGATAAGATCTTAGAATAAAGATATTCATACTGATAAATTAATAGAATTAGTTGATATTATGATTCATGGAAAGATAAATAGCTTACGTGTTCAAGAAACTAAATGGGTTGGAGAAAAGACTATGGAGATTGATAACTTAGGTTTTAAACTTTGGTATTCAAGTAAGAGTTGCACTAAAAATGGGGTACGTGTAATTATGGATGAGAGCTTAAAAGCTAATGTTGTAAAAATTAATAAAGTTGGAGATAGAATTATAGCTCTTAAGATTATAAGATTATTGTTGATACTAAGCTAAGATTTTTAATATTAGAAGTGCTTATGCTCCTCAAGTAGGTTTAGATATAGGTTCTAAAGATAAATTCTGGAATGACTTAGAATGTCTAATACAAATGATATCTCCTGAAGAATGATTTTTTATTAGAGGAGATTTAAATGGACATATCGGTAGAGTGGTAGAAGATTTTTGAAATATTCATAGTGGCTACGGTTTTGGAGTGATTTTGCTTTAGCACATTGCTTTAGCATATGATTTTGTTATTGATAATATTTTATTTAAGAAAAGAGTTGAGCATATTATTAATTATAAGAATGGAGCTAATAAAACACAAATTGATTATTTTCTTATAAGAAGAAGAGATCGTCGAAAATATAAAAATTGTAAGGTCATTCCAAGTGAGGATTTAAGTACTCAACATCGATTGTTAATTCTAGAATTTAAGATGAAGAGTTGTAAAATAAAGAATACTAGGAATTCTTGTAGGAGAATTAGATGGGGGTACCTAGAAGAAACAAATAAAATTATTTTTATGAGTAAAATTCAAGATTTCAAAATTTGGGATGTTCATGAAGAAGCAAATTCTATGTGGGATAAAGTAACAAAAACAATTAAACAAGTGGCAAAAGTTATACTTGGAGAATCAAAAGAAAAAATTTCTATAAATAAAAATAGTTTGTGATGGAATAATAAAATGCAAAAAAGATAATATAAGAAAATTTGTTATAAAAATTGGTTTAAATGTAAAAGCTTAGCGAATTAGGAAAAATATCAAACAACCCGTAGGGAGTCTAAAAGAACAATTTGTGATGCTAAAAAATTTGTTTCAAGTGATATTTATAATAAATTAGAAACAAAGAAAGGTGAAAAATATATGTATAAACTAGCTAAACAAAGAGGAAAAAAAAGTGAAGATTTAACTCAAAGTGTTTTTCTTAGAAAAAGATATTTGAAATAAGTGGGTGAGTTATTTTAATAAGCTTTTTAATGAAGTTTTAAGGAATACGATCGACCTAAGTGATCTTAATATCGTTAATAATAATAAAATGTTTCATTTTTACCATTGCATTAGTAAAAAAGAAGTTGAGGCTTTTAAGAAAACCAAGGGTGGACAGTCTGTAAGAACTGATGATATCTCAATTGAAGTGTTGAAATATTTAGGAGATTTGGGAGTTTCTTGGCTTACTAAACTCTTTAATATTATTTTGAAAACTAAAAAGATGCTTGAGGAGTGGAGGAAGAGTAATTTGGTCCCCATTTTTAAGAATAAAGGGAATGCACAAGAGTGTGTCAATTATATAGGAATTAAGTTGATGTGTCATGCTTCAAAATTATAGGAGATGGTGATTGAACATAGGTTTGGACTTATTACAAAGATTTATCATAATCAATTTGGATTTATGTCGGGCAGGTCAACTATGGAAGCTAGATACATTTATTGAGAGGTTTGATTGAGAAATTCAAAGATAATAAGGAAGATTTGCATATGACTTTTTTTGATTTAGAAAAAACTTATAATAAGAATCGAAAAGATATCCTTTGGAGAGTTCTTGAGAAAAAAGGTGTTGATATGACTTATATTCAAGTCATTAAAAATATGTATACAAGAACTGTTACTTGTGTTCGAACAGGAGGATTGACCAAATGTTTTCCTATTTCTGTTGGTTTGCATCAGGGATCGGCTTTAACCCCGTATCTTTTTGCTTTAGTCACGGATGGTCTTACTGGACACACTTACAGGATGTACCTTGGTTTATGTTTTTTGTTGATGATAGGAGGATGTACCTTGGTGTATGCTTTTTGCTGATGATATCCTTCTCATGGATAAGACGAAAGAAAAAACTCAGAAAAACTTGAATTGTGAAGGTCTATCCTGGATTCTAAAGGCCTTCGTTTGAGTAGAACTAAAACTGAATACATGGAATGTAATTTTAGTAGTAGTAGCTGTAGTGATAGAAATGTAACGATGGCTGATCAAATTATTAAAAGGTGTGAACACTTTAGATATCTCGGGTCTCTTGTTCAAAGTAATGATGATATTGATGAGGATGTTATAAGTAGAATTCAAGTTGGTCGGTTGAAGTGGATAAATGCTTCGAGTTTATTGTGTGATAGAAAAGTTCCGCTTAGACTGAAAGGAAAATTTTATAAGATGACGGTGAGAGCTGCAAGGCTCTATGGAGATGAATGTTGGCCTTTAAAAGAGAAACATAAAACTAAGTTAAGTGATGCAAAGATGAGAATGATTAGGTGGATGAGTGGATTTATACCTAGAGACAAAATGCAAAATGATTATATCCATGATAGGGTTGGTGTAGCTTCAGTGACAAACAAAATTTGAGAGAGTCGTCTTAGATGGTTTGGCCACATTAAATATCAACCATCTGATAATTTGATTAGAAAAGTAGATGTTTTAGATTCGACTTATGTTAAAAAAGACAAAGGAAGACATAGGATGACTTGGGCATATTGTATAAAAAATGATCTTAATTTATTAGGATTAAATGAAAATATGATACTAAAAAAAACGCAACGGAGAAAAAAGATTCATGTAGCCAACCCCACTTAGTGGGATAAAGGTTTTGTTGTTGTTATTCTTAATTTTTTTATTAATTATTACAATTAGTTATTAAAAAAAATTGAGATTGAAAAAAATGAGTAAAAATGAGAGACCTTTGGAGTTAATCGAAGATGAAGCAGAGGAGAGAGATATTCATTATGATGGTAACTACAATAAATACCTCCCGAGAGATAGTGTTACGAATTTTTTATTATTTTTTATATTCTTACTAGGATCTATGAATATTGCTATGTTGGACAACAAAAGTGAGAATTTATTATGCGACACTAATTTGTTTTACTTTGCATTCATAAATCATGTGTTACTTTCATTTGACATATCATGTTATTTTGATTAGTTGATGTATACACTACACTTCTCTTTACGCAATTTGTTACATAATATTTTCTGACTTGCATAATTTGTTACCTATGTTAAGATTCTAATATCTTTCTATAATATATTTATAGATTAGGATACAAATATAATAATTCTTAACTTTATTTTAACTCTAAGCAATTTTTAATTATGAGGCTTACGACTCAAAATGCCTTGAAGTATCACCACACCTCACGGATGAAAAACACCTCAACACCCAATAAGGTAATTTTAAACCTCAATTTACATGGATGATTATCTTCATTTATGATAAGAGCATTACAAGATCATCAAGATTTATTGTCAACTGAGCAAGTCTGACTTTGTCCTAGGTGATTTGGTCAAAAGAAATTAGAATGTTAGTAGCAGTCAGGTGAGGCAATACATGACTGAATGCATAGTACAAGGTAATATAGTAACTCATTCAAACCCAACTAATACTAAAAAATAGCATAAAAGACCTAGATTTGATAATCAAACGTGAGCTCAAGACCCAAATGAGAAACATGAAAACTCATGGCCTATATGTAATTGATCCCAAACCTCAAAGACTTCATATTAATTTATTAAATAAAACGTTGCATAATAATTTAAAAGAAATGACGCAAGTACAAAGAAAGAAAAAATTAAAAAAAAAATAAAACATAAAAATATTAAGAAAGCTACAAAGATAAACAATTAAGGTAGAATGGACATTATACCTTTAGCCATTTGACCGAGAAATTCCGGCCATAGTGAGCTGTTCCATGTGCATATTTCCAATTGCCTCCACCAATAAATCCACCAATTTTAGAAGTCATCTTTGCACAGCCCTTTAAAATCGAATGACAAGAATTTAACATTTAACCATTCAATAATTCTGATAATTGAATGTATTATATAATATCAAATCAATTGCACTTGATTCCAAATTCATGGATGAATTTGCACTTGATTCCAAATTCATCCTTCCAAATTCATGGATGAAATTGGAAACAAGTGAATTTGTAATATAATATCAAATCATTTGCACTTGATTCCAAATTCATGGATGATCCAATGATATGTGGAGTGTTTAAGGTACAAGCTGGCATGACCATGCCTACCTGGAAATGTCGAGTACGGTTGATTGAGAATATCAAAATAACATTCTCTATAGACTCAAATGCTTCATTAAGTTTAGCCTCATTACTCCTTTGGGTTGCCCAAACACCTTGCTGAACAGAAATTTCCAGGTTTTCACGATTGCAACTTTTAACAATAAAGTACCTAGTTTTCCACATTTCAAAATGAAAAGGATTTCTTAGAAACAAATTGGAAGAACCCCCAAAATCCATTGAAATGAACTTACATGAGAATGGAAAAAAGTCATGCTTAAAATAGCACTTATTGAATATTGTATGCAGCACTCTAAAAATGCAACAAAAAAAACCAACAAATTAGTCAAGCAAAGAAATGCCAATTGCCTACATTCAAGAGAAAATCATGTTGAATTCCATTAATTCCAACGGTGAAAGCTGCCACCTAGAATACAACATCACAAAAAATATCAATGTAAAGATTATTAGCCAACTTGTGCCTTAGTATGCCAAAGGATCCTATGGCCAAGAGATTCTCAAAAGGTCCCTCCCAATCCCTTTTATTGCTAAGGAGAGAAAAAAAGAAATTTGAACGCAAGAAAAGAAGAACCTGCCAAACCTGAACTGAACAAAATAATTAATCATATTCTAGAATAGCTTTAGGTAGGCTCCTATTCCAACTTTATTTGGAACAGGTTATTCAGGCTAGTTCACACCTATGGAATTTAGTTCACTCAAACAGAGCCAAATACTATGTCCAAAGTTAATCTTAAAATCATATGCTTGCGTCACAAAGATGGACACACAAAAGTAACATGCATCGATGAATGAACGCGTACAATAATGCTTTATACCAATCGCCAAATTAACAACTGCTACAAATAATTACTTTAGAACTTTAGATTATACAAACATACCAATAAAAAAATTAGACCCAAATTCAGCTAACAAATTAGACTTAAATACAAACCAATCCAAACAAAAAAATCAATTCTGATCTAGTAAAAACATTTTTTGAATTGATTGATGTTTGTAGTCATTAAAGGTTTGGACAAGAACAGAAAAATACAAAGCTAAATGCACTATAATTGATATCACACCTAAAAAGTAAGCGGGTAAATAAAGAGTGACAGAATGGCTCTGCACTACAAAGATGAATATGCAACTCCAAGAAAGTATCACATAACAAAAACAAATCTTCACCAAGTACAAGTTATCCTTTAGGATATAGATCGCCGAAACAAATGTCTTAATAAGTTTTTACAAATCCTGGGTTGTTCTAGAAACTCCAAACACACCTAGATTGCCCTGGAGGAAGAGGTGATGCTGTCCTATTAGGTTGATTAGGCAAGCCATTGGTAATGCTCTGGACCTGATTTTCACTACAGTTCTGTTGTTGCAGTTGATGTGATTGCTGCTGTAGTTGTGAAGTTTCTTGTTGTTGAGATTGTTGACCTTGGGGTTGCCGCTGTGAAATTAGCGGTTCAACCGAACCAGGAGATTTGAGTTCAGCTGATTGATTTGTTACAGCAGAACCTTGAGGAAGTTGAGACTTTTCCATCTGTTGATTATACCCAGTATTCCGGTGCTGAAAAAATCTGTTTGAAGAACCATAATTGAACAGCTGCTGAATCTTCTGAAAGACTTCTTCAACAGGAGGAGGAGGACCGGGGAGTTTGGCATGTCTATAGCGACACTCAGGACCATTCGGGCAGAATCCAAATTTATACCTGCATAATTGGAACCGAGCATCAGTACATTTACACAATAATCTAAAGGATTTAATGCATGATTTTTCAACAAATTTTACGATGACCGTCGACTACCTAGCGCAACTCTCCATTTTTAACATCGGGGATTCAGACTTGGCAATGGCAGTGCTGAAAATTGATAACCAATTTAAAATAAATCTATGAAAATATTTTTATAAAAATTAAGACTCTCTAAAGTCACTTTTAAAATAAAAATAAGGACTCTTTCTATCTCCTGGATGAGGTACATAATAGAATTTACCAACAATCAAGACTCCTAAGTGCTGATGCACTCTCATAACATGACCAAACTAACATGCATACAAAAAAATTACTTAGGAGCAGACAATTTATGATGCATATATCATTCCTAAGATAAAATTTCTTAAGTGGATGAATTTTTAATAAGCTTAGGGGTCATCATGTGATAGGTAGTAATAGCCTTGACCCAAACAGAAAACTAAGTCCAATTAAATAGCTCTAGTTACAGCTAACTGGATTATCTTTTCCCCTCTTCCGTAGGTAAATTCTTACAGTTCTAAGAATTACAAGTCATGCATCATCCAATCCATTACTTAGAAACAGTCTTTATAGTAGATTTTGGTTCTCTTTCATTAGTTTGACATCATTTAATTAATTTTGGATAATAGAATTGATGATCGTTGATGGAATATATAGTTGTGCTGGGTCAAATACCTTCACAGTGAATTCATTTCGCACTTGATAACCTGTGATGATGGGCCAATTAAGCCATATCTGTTGCTATTTCTATCATTGTCCCGGATTTTTCTTTCCTTCACTCTATAACCCCCTTTGAGCTCATTTTATTCCTTCAGAGTATTTGGTAATCCAATAAATATTATATTCTCATTAAATTTAGATGCTTTATCCTCTACCTTATAAATGACCAGTCATTCGCGCACTAGCACACTGGATTAAATTTGTTGGCATGGTCTTATTATTTTGCTCATTATTGCAATTGAATATAAAGTTGCATTAACACATAATCGTGATTTTGTGTTATCACTGAAAAGTATACAACCTAGAAGGAACATAATTAACACATAATTTATTGGGTGTGTTAAAGATATGTTTAAATTATTAAAGAAATGTATAATTAAGCAACGACTTCTCAAGTAATCAAAGGTTTTTAATTATAATAAAATTAATCAAAGATAAGCATTGAGTCCATATATTTTTTATATTGTATATAGAGATGCGCAATCCAAATGAGATGCTTTGATGAATGAATTTTGCAAATAGATGACAATATGACTTTAGTTAAGACTGTTATTAAAATAGAAAAATATCTTGAACACATAATATGATAAGATGATAACATGGATGTGTATACAGATGTCCATGATCATTTATGTTATATGAATTTGAGCGTTAGTGAATTGAAAAGTCATTGATAATTAAATTAGGAGTAGCATAATGAGAAAGTTAAAATGTCTGTGTGGCAAAATTATGAATGATGAATTAAAAAATGAATATATAATAGAAAATTTTAGAGTAACATTAATATAAAGTAGTTGAAAATAGAATTAATGGTGAGGATATGTGCAATGAAAGGTAAAAAACACAACTATAAGATAAGTAGATATAGATAGTGACATAGGAATAGAAAAAACAAGGAGTCATAATAAAAGAGCATTTGAGAAGAATAGGTTTAACATTATAAACATCACTAAAAAAGAATAAATGATAAATGAGAATTTATAAAGTTGGCTCTAAATAGTATGAAGAAGGCTAATAAGATGATGTCCATTATTTTCAAAAACACAAAACTGTCAAGTTGATCCTACATTTAAGTCAACAAAATTGGACATTTCAGTTAAATCAATAGTTTAACCATGTTCAAAACTCAGTAGAATTCTTATCATTTTCTCAAATCAAGAAAAAATAATCTAACAGGGAAAGGTCCCCAATACCTAAAATATTTGTAAGTGGAAGTTATTGGAGATATTCACCAAGGCAATACTCGGTTCCATTAGTTATCTTTGAATACAAGTGGGGGATTACTATGAAACATAACCAAATGTCATCATTCCATAACTTCTCACACTATTCCACCACTCATAATAAGCTGCCTTCAACATAGGTATTTACCTACAATTATTGATATTCAAGAGATTGTCACTGCTTATCACCACTGTAGGTCTTATAAAAAAGTCAATGCTTGATGGAATCCAATGCGACCACTATCACAAAATAAAGTAACGCCCCTATGATTTTCATCAAATCTCTAGTTCTTAAATTCCACTAATTGCAAATAAAGTTTAAAAACACACAATTAAATATTCAAATTTTTTTTTAGGAGGTGAGGCAAATGCTCCAAAATTATTTAGGCATATGCCTCAAACTTAAAACCCTATATTAACTAAAAATATGAAAAAATAAAATATTTGAAAGTAATCCTCAATGATGAAAATTTAAGTTTGATTTCCTCCCAATAAAAAATTTAGAAGTAATAAAAAATATTTCAAAATAATATCATATAAAATATATAAATACTCAATAATAAGCAAAATATCTAAGATTAACAAGTAAACACGTCTCAAAATAAGCCAGTTTTAACTTATGTCTCGTAATTTAAACTAGTTTTAACATATGGCCCATGGATTACTTAAGTATGCCTCTACCCTTCTTAATATAGTCAAATCTAAAACATCTACTCTCCTAACTGGGTCATCAGATGATTGACATTTAATGTGACCAAACCATCTAAAGCAACGCTCTCTAATCTTTTCTGCCTCTGGAGCTACTCAAACCCTTTGACAAATATATTAATGCCGCATTTTGTCTTTAAGTGAGAGCCAACCACTCATCCTCCTAAGCATTCTCATCTTAACAACACTTAACTTAATTGTATGCTTCTCTAATACAAGCCAACATTTTCATGTTTTTGTTGCAGGTATATCATTTTTAGGTATTTGGAGCAAAAATGACAAAAAAGATAAAATTTGGAGTCAAAACAGCGAATTTTGGAATTCTGACAACCTAATTGTATGCTTCTCTTATACAAGCCAACATTTTGTATTATAAAGCATTGTAGGTCTCACCACCATCACATATAAATTTCCTTTAAGCCTAAACGACACTTTTTTTCACACAATAGGCATGATGCATCCCTCCACTTCAACTATTTAACTTGAATTTTACTAATAACATCCTCATCTATATCATCATTACTTTAAACAATAGACCCGAGATATTTAAAACAACCACCCCTTTAATGACTTGATCACCCATTGTTATAACTCTGACATTAGATCTACTACTACTAAAATTACATTTCAATTACTCAATTTAGATCTACTCAAACAAATGCATTTAGACACTAAAGTTGACCTCCGTAATTTACTTTATTCCTTAACTCTCTCTAATCTTATCCACAAGAATGATATCATCAGTGAAAAGCATACAACAAAATGCATCTTCCTGTAAATATTCTGTAAGAATATCCATAATTAACGCAAAATGATATGGGTTTAAAGTTGATTCTGATGCAATCCAATTGAAATAGAAAAATATTTAGTTAATTCTTATTGTGTTTGAATACAAAAAACAACTCTAATATACAGATCATTATTAACTTGAATATAAGAAATATCAACACATCTCTTTCTAAAACTCTCAAAGTACTTCTCCTGAAACTTTATCATAAGTTTTTTATCATAAGTTTTTTTTTACATTAAAAAAAAAAAAATCATATGTACATCCTCCTTACTCTCTTTGTACTTCTCCAGTAAAACTCTCAATAAATATATAGCTTCCATAACAGATTTGTCCGGCATGAATCCAAACTGATTTTGAGAAATTTTTATACCATGTTGTAACCTATATTAAATTACTCTCTCTTATAACTTATAATATATGAAATATTAACTTTATTCTTCTATAATTTGCACACTCATGCATCTCTTTTATTCTTAAAAATAGGAACTAATAGACTCTTTCTCCACTCATTAGATGTCTTTTTAGTTTTTAAAATAATAGTAAAAAGATGTAAACAAATAGATTTAGACTTTATTTATGCTTAACATGTAAACAAATATCTCATTAATTTAGAAATAGATTTAGTCTTTATTTAAGCCTGAAAGTTTTATAATATGTTATTAACATATCTATATTCCTACACGAAGAATTCCAATTTTTTTGTGCTTATTTAATATATTTAAAAATTCATTTAAATTAATGCAAAAAATATGTTATAACTAATGAATTTAAGCTTAATTCTTAACTATTTTATTGGATTCAATGGATTTCTTAGATTTAATTTTAAAGGTTTTATGATCTCTTGAATTAGAAGCAATTTATTCTAGAAGAAAAAGTTGCAAGGAGAAAAGCTAAAATTGTTCATCCTTCCAAACTATTGAGAACAAGTTTAGAGTAACATCTCCCAATTAGGAATTTTATATCTATAATTTCATTGCAGCTATCTTGCAATCACTTTGTATCAAAATTATATAATGCATTAATCCTTACAACGGTTGGTGATAGCCTTCGTCACAACCAAAGTGTTGGATTACTTTATAAAAACATGTTCCTATAAATTTATTTCAAGGTGGTGTCAATTCCCATGAAAAAGGTTGGTTTATGATTCCCAATCAAGAAGAGAGTGTGAGGATTTTCTTTAACATAAAGGAAAAGATTACAAGGGCTTCTCCACCTACAAGTTGTGAATGAGAGATCTACACGTTTGGGGAAATCCTAAATACAAAGGGTGCTTAGGCATGAATGCAAGCCATTGGATGGGTTGAACCATATAAATATCATTTGTATTCATTTCACGCTTTATTTAAATTTTTTTGCCATTGGCTTTACCTATTATTTATGCTCTAATGTTACAATAGTAATCAACTTAATTGATTCTAAAGCGGCAAAGTAATCTTCATTAGTGCACATAATAATTCAATTTCTCTATATAAATCACAGCTTTGTTACTTCACTTCAAATCTTTGTTGTGTGAATATATGAATTTGGTTCTTAGTATAATTAATCATATAAGTTAGTATAATATCTTCATCTTCTATGGCTGTACCTTTACATTAATCATTTGTATTACTTAATCAATCATTCAAAAGTCATTACTTAATATTGATGATAAATTTATAAGATCAACTTCGTTGACCACAAGTGTGTGTAATTATGTTTGAGTAGCACATCAATTACCTTAATCAAAAATAATATTATAGTTATGGCACTGAATTGTGTGAGACTTGAGTTATGAAGAGTTTTGAAAGAAAAATCCAAAGAGCAAAAAAATTGCACACCCAATTTACTTGTCCTCACTTGGTGTATCTTGATTCAGCACATGTTACACATTCTCTTACATCTTCAACAATGAGCTAGAAGTGAGGTCAAACTCGAGTGTTGGATATCAGACAAACTCACCATATGATTTTAGTTATGGGTAACAAATTATCAGTAAGAAAATAACGTTAAGATGGAATCTAATCTACTTGGTGAATCAACAGATCATTTGAAAAAGCAGTTCATAGATAGTCCTGCTTATCAAGCCATGGTACACTTTGACACTTCAGTTGGTAAAATGAGATCCTATTTTCCAACAAAAACAAAGATCCATCATAAAGTCCTAGAAGCTACATCGATTTATTTACCCCGCCAATTTCCGCAGATTAATATCAGCCTTCGACAAAACATAACATCAAGAGTGGCGAAGTATGGTGCTCAAGCATGTTGGGCATAGAAATACACCATTGTTTTCAAACCACTGCCTTTTTGTTTAGGAGAAAAAAAATTCAAAAGCACTGAATCAACAATAAATCGGCAAAAAAACAACAAGGGAAGCATACTTGAACAACACCATAAAACCAAGGTACAGAGTGCGAACAACCTCTTCACCAAAACAGCCATACTGCAACAGCACAAACCAAAAAACATAAAAGAATCCACACGAATCAATGGTAAATGAACTTGAGAAGCATACATGTTGCACTCCTTTATGTCCTCATTCGTGTGCTTATACACGCAATCCTGTTCCCGGCACTCCCCGTAGAGGCGGAAGAACCGGCAAACCGGCATCCGGGCTTTATCGTACTGATGGAGAAAGCCGCAGGCGTCCCCCTTCATGCAAAGGCTGCGGAGCCAGTGCCGACACACTGTCTGCCGGAAGCTCCTCCGACCTGAAATATTCCCTCCGGCGGCAGCTGATTCGGAGGTTGCGGATCCTATGTTGCCGGCAGTTACGGCAATTGGGGCAGAGGTAGGGTCGGAGGGCATGAAAGACGCAGATCCGCCGGCAGGGCCCAGAGGGGCAGCGGCATCAAGACCGCCCTCGAAGTCGAAGCTGAGGGTCCCTTCCGGGTCCTCCATTGAAATGTGGAGAAGCCCTAGCAATTGGTTTGCTTCGTCTAAGTCCTTTTTTGCACCGCTGTGTGGGTGATTTTGAGGTTGGAATCAGTTTAGGGTTTTAGGGTTTGAAGCTTTTCGTAACCGCGCGAGCTGGCGAGGAGCATGCTGAAGAGGAGAGTGTAGTACGGTATGGAGCATCCAAAACAGATCAAGACATCGCCCACAATTGAGTGAGAAATATTTGCTTAACTAGGCAGAATTGTGTAAATATATTAATTTATTGGGAGGGTAAAACTAAATTATATTTAGATTATACCTCTTGTAATTCTTCTTCTAATCGAAGTTTAACTTACATGTACCCTCTGAATAATCTAATATGCACGCAACTCTGCGTACGTAGCGTACGTCTTACGTACATAAATATTAGAGAAGCGTAAGAATTACATTCATGTGAATTAATTCTTATTTTTTACATATATATCTTTACATAAAAATGTACATTTTATTTTTCAATGTTAAAATAATAATATTTTTTTTATGTCATACATACAAAAATTTTAGATGATATAAATATAAGAGAAAGAGTTTAAGCATAGGATATATGAATACATAGAAATTGGATGGTATGCATATAAATGTCCCTAAAAAAATAAATAAATAAAAAATAAAAAAAGGCAAGCTTGATCCTTTCTTTGTGTTATTTATGTCCAATTAGAACTTTGGGTAATGAAAGCATAACTAAATCATTTTATTGTTGGGATCTTAAAATTCTTATATAAGAGAACAAACTTTAGCATAATTTAGAGATCTTACAAATGCTTCTTTATCTTCTAAGTTTAATTCAAATATTAAAAAAACTCAAAATAACTCAAAAATATCATCAATCTAGAGCAAATAAAATTTTATGAAAAAAATCTTAGACTTACCTACCCTACTGGTATGGAAGTTGGAGAAGGCAATCCATCTCATTAACATGCAATTATGATCACCTGCGTCTAACACCAACAATGCGTGGAGGAGGGTTCTGCAAGGTTGCCCCACAACTTTTCCTCAATACAAGAAGCACATCAACACACACTTCAAACTATACAAATTATCTATGAAATGTTCAACTAATTAGAACTGTTGAAATATCCACATACCTTAATTTTATAAGTCATTTCTGACAACTTTGTCATAAAGGTAAAAATACACAAAAAAAAAGATTACTTGTGATCAATCGTTTCTAGTGACCCAAAAATTTATTAATTGATGGCCTATCAAGAAGGGGTGAATCGAATGTGCATTAATTTGTTTAGCTTGATTTCAAATTTATCCTATACATGAATGTCAACTAAAATTAAAATTGTTTAATAATAAAAATAGTATTTATGGAAGTTAAATGTATATAAAAATGAAACAATGTAACACATTGTTACTTAAGGTAAATTATTTAACATTAAACTTATGAATAAGTAATTATTAAAGTGAGTAATATGAATGTTTCAATAAATTACACAAAGCTATACAATAAAGTCACTTGACACCGCAATTACAAAACGGATATGTTCAAAGGTAAGAGATTATATGTAGAATGATAATAATAATAATAACATAAGAATGATTTACTATTTAAACTCAACAATAATTGTTTTATTTTGCAAGTGTAGCACAAGACTAATTGGTCTATTCGCCACCAAAAGCAATTTTAAGTACATGAAATATAAGAGTAAGAATAATAAAACTACGTAACACATGCGACAATTAATTTCTACATGAATTGTCCAACCTCAAGGCCAACATCTACATGAAGCAAAGATTTAAATTAGATTTCATTACCTCATGCTATAAAAATAATGACATCCTTAAATGAGATAAAGAAACCCTACATCATTTTAAGCTCCATCCAACTAAGTGCAATCATATAAACTCTCATACATATTACAAGTGCAACCCCAGCATGTAATTCCTACTGACTTAGATTACCCTGACATCCTTAAATGAGATAAAGAAACCCTACATCATTTTAAGCTCCATCCAACTAAGTACAATCATATAAACTCTCATACATACTACAAGTGCAACCCCAACATGTAATTCCTACCGACTTAGATTACCCAATCTCTCTCTCTCTCTCTCTCTCTCTCTCTCTCTCCA